TTTGATCTGAAATTAACACAAAATTCATGTTTTAACAGCCTCTATACTTAATTGCTGCAAGTGCTATTCGTAAATCTGTAATTTTTCCGTTTGATTGATGTGTAGATCTGAATTTTGAACTCGTGAATATTTATTAATTATGGTTAACCTGGATTTAGTTCCCCAAATAGGATTTTGATTTTTATGCTGAACTTTTTGTTGAAAGGCTGAGATCTCACAAAATTGGGTGATTTTGATTCAGATAAGTGAGTTACCGTTAAGGCATTTGGCTAATCTAATTTTGAGAAAGTTTCTTTTCTTGACAGTAGCTATGTCGACATCTGATGGATGCTTCTTTCTTAGAAATAAGCTAATCCAAACAGGCTCCAAGTATATGTGACTTAATTATCTGTTAAGAGCATGTTAGGTTAGCTTATTATTTCTAAGAAAGTTGCCCATTCTTGATAGTAGCTATGTCAAGATTTGATGTATGCTTCTTTCCCAGAAATAAGCTAAGCCAAAAATGCTCCAAGTATAATATATCAATTATCATATATGCTCAGATCTGATGGATGCATTAATGAATCTTGCAGAAACTTGAAGTTTATTCAGATTTAAGAGGCCTAGAAATGGGATTTGAAATGAACATTAGGGTCTTTACTAGTGCAATACTAGGTCTTGTCTATTTTGCATCAGCAAATGCACAAGCTGTTGTAGCTCCAACACCGACTCCGGCCCCTGCACCGGCACCAGAATATGTCAATCTGACTGACTTACTCTCTGTTGCTGGCCCGTTCCACACTTTCCTTGGCTATCTTCAATCCACCAAACTCATTGAAACTTTTCAAAGCCAAGCCAATAACACTGATGAAGGAATTACTCTTTTCGTGCCGAAAGACGAGGCCTTTGCCTCTCTAAAGAAGCCCTCTATTTCTAACCTCACGCAGGACCAACTCAAATCTCTCTGTCTTTTCCATGCTTTGCCACATTACTACAAACTGGCTGATTTCACGAACCTCAGCCAACGAAGCCCAATTCCAACTTTCGCCGGTGGACAATACAGTTTGAATTTCACCGATACCTCTGGGACAGTGCACGTTGATTCAGGATGGACTAAAACAAAGGTTATTAGTGCAGTTCGTGCTACTGATCCGGTCGCAGTTTATGAGACCGATAAAGTTCTACTCCCAGAGGCAATCTTTGGCACTGATATACCACCATCCCCAGCTCCAGCTCCGGCCCCAGTCCCAGATACTGCTCCTGCAGCAGACTCTCCATCTGAAAAAGGGGGAAGCGGATCATCGTTGCCAAATTCATCACCTTCGTCTTCTCACAGAGTTTTGAATTCTGATAAATTGAGCCAGTTGGCGTTGGCTTTTGTGGGTGGAATGCTCATGTTCTTGTGAAAGAGTGTTTTGCTGGTCAGATAATTTATGTCATTAAATCCTTTCACATTTCTTGTTTCTTACCAATTCTTTTCCCCTGTATTTTATTATATACAAGTATGTATGAGAATTTGAATTTTTGGTAGTCGCTACCATACTTAAATGCTCGTGTTGCATTATTATTGCAATTTTTTTCTTCTTCTTTTTTCTTCTTTTGTCTTTAGCTCGGTTCGACTGTACAAGGATGGCGGCTTGTTTGGTACATGTCCCTACTAATATAAAAGAGCCAATCAGTGGGTTACTATTCATTTGTGAAGCATTTGTTTTTCCCATTTTATCCCACTAATTAATCTTTTTCCATTTTATCCCCATAATTTACTATTCATTTGTGAAATAGTTTTTCATCCTCATCTTATCTTATGAAAACAAAATGGTAATTCCTTACCTATAATTGTTGACTTGAGAAGATATGTATAATAAATAAAAACCTGCAAACCGCCTCAGTGAGGAGAAATCGTCAATTGCAGTTGATATTTTATAAAAAAACACGTATTGGAGAAGCAAACCAAAAATAAA